GCTTTTAGTAATCTGTATGAAAGTGAAAGTCGCTTAGTCCTGTCAGACTCTTTCTCATCCCATGGACTATACAGTTCATGGAATTCTCCAGGCCAGAATACTGGAGTGGGTAGCCTTTCCCTTCTCCAGGGGATCTTCCCAACCCAGGGATCGAACCCAGGTGTCTGGCATTGCAGGTGAATTCTCTATCAGCTGAGCCACAAGGAAAGCCCAAGAATACTGGAGTGGGTAGCCTATCCCTCCTCCAGCAGATCTTCCCGATCCAGGAAGTGAACCGGAATCAGACCGCAGTCCCCTACATTGCAGGTGGATTCTTTACCAACTGAGCTATCAGGGAAGCCCTGGTAACCTATGTAACAAAGATCAAATTCCTCATCTTGGCAGTCATACATTTTCTGGTCCTACATGGCCTAACTGGTCCTTTTGTTGCTCTTTTTTCAAGCGATCTCTTTACCAGTCAAAAAGTCTACTCATGATGTCCTTAAAATGCCAAGTTCAGTTCAGTTCAGTCGCTCAGTCCTGTCCAACTCCTTGCAACCTCATGGAGTGCAGCATGCCAGGGACCTCTTCAATTCGATATTTTTGTTCAAGCCTTTCTCTCAGTCTGGAATAACGTTCTACTCTCTTGTCTACAGGAAAAATCCTGATCCTCCAAAACATTGTGGAAATTCAGTCCTATGTGAAACCCTTCCCCAACGCATTCTTATTTTTTCCTTTTTCTTCTTCCTATTCTCCTTTCAAAAGTCAACTATTTTCCTGCTCTTTGTTCCTATGCTGCTATGTCAATTCAGTCGTGTCTGACTCTATAGGAGTTTCTTATTTTGTTCTTTATGACCCGATTGTGTTTCTTAAGCATATGTTGTTTCTTTCTTAGAAACCATATGCCTTTTTCTGTAGGTTTGTTCATTCACACATCTATTCAACATTTGCTCAATGTCTATTATGTGGTGCTATGCTAGATACTTGAATATACAAATTTCAAACAGCTCAAATTAGTAAGAAAGACATGTATACAAAATATTATAATTTATATTGACAAATCATTGTAGCATTTGATAGGTACTAGATAAAAATATATGCGATGAAAAGAATCAACATGCTAATGCTTACAGATTTCCCTCCAACCACTACACCAACACATACTAATAAAAATTTTGAAAAAATTCAAGCCCCCCTTCCCCACTGCCCCCAGTTCAGAGCTTGTGGACAAGTTCTTAGCACTGAAAGAATTACAGAAAAAAAAAATGATGGATTCAGGGCTTGAGTTTATATTTAAGATTTGAGAGCTATGGGTGGAAGAAGCAAAAGGAATACTATGAACTATATATTTGGATTCATTTTAATGTTTCTTTGAAATACTTAAAGAATAGAATTCTCTTTTAATTTCTTTTGGCTGTTGAGCTGTATATCTTAACCAAGGTTCACTATGAGCACAAACATCCCCATCCTGTTAAAATGTCTTATACTCAGTGAATGTGTGGGAAAATGAAAATATTAAAATAGTTTATATCATGGAAAAAATAAGGCATTAGAGATGCATTCCTCAGAGCACACTAGAACTATTTTGTAAGGAGACCAATGCATTTAAACAATTACTTGGTGTACTATAATGACTTATAAAACAGATAAGTATAAGACTAAAATTCACTTATGATCCTACCTCTAAGAAACAATGCTTCTAATATGTGATTTTTTTCTCTAGCTTTTCAATGTGTATTTATTAAAAAAACATTTATTGATAACTACTATAAGCCAGACACTGTACTAAGCCATAGGGACATAGCCAGAACAATAGAGACAAATTCAATGTTTATCTAGAGCTTATAATCTAGCTGTGGGAGATGGGCAATTAACAAAATAAATCAATCAAAACTCCAGTATTCTTCCCTGGGAAATCCCATAGACAGAGGAGCCTTGCAGTCTACAGTCCCTGGGGTGTCAAAGAGCAGGACATCACCACTGAGTGACTGAGGGCATGTGCACGCGTGCATGCAAACACACACACACACACACACACACACACACACACACTCACAAAGATAACAAAGATAAGTGTTATTAAGAACATTAGTCACGGAGGAGTATTGAATAGGGAGTGTGGGGGAGGGTAGAGGCTGCAATTTTAAATAAGGTGGCCAGGGAAGACCACTAAGAAATTGACATTTGAGCAAAGACTTGAAGTGGGTAGAGAACCAAACCGTGTACAAAGTCCCAAACAAGCCAGTATGTATGTAAGTATTTTCTGTTTGCTTGTTTGTTTAACAAACATAGTCCATATGACTGGGGCAAAACCCCACCTCTTACATGTAACCCAAATCTAATCAGCACTTCTGACTTGCTTAGTCATATTTCCCTCTGGTTGGATATTTAGATTGGTTCCTTTTTCTTTTTTTCTTTCCTTTTCTCTTTTGTCTCATCCTATCACAAAACATAATTTCTTAGATTGCCTTTATGAATATTTCTGTAAGACAGAGTTCCAAAAGTCAACAATTCCGGTTCAAATTGCCAAATTGCTCCCAAAGAACTGACACTAATTTTTATTTCAACTGTCAGTATAAGAAAGGACCTATCTTACCAAATGTCTGTCAGTAATAAGTAGGCCAGTGGTCATATATGGATGTGACAGTTGGACTGTGAAGAAAGCTGAGTGCCGAAAAATTGATGCTATTGAACTGTGGTGTTGGAGAAGACTCTTGAGAGTCCCTTGGACTGCAAGGAGATCCAACCAGTCCATCCTAAAGGAGATCAGTCCTGGGTGTTCATTGGAAGGACTGATGCTGAAGCTGAAACTCCAATACTTTGGCCACCTCATGCAAAGAGTTGACTCATTGGAAAAGACCCTGATGCTAGGAGGGATTGGGGGCAGGAGGAGAAGGGGACAACAGAGGATGAGATGGCTGGATGGCATCACCGACTCGATGGTCATGAGTTTGAGTAAACTCTGGGAGTTGGTGATGGACAGGAAGGCCTGGCGTGCTGCGATTCATGGGGTCACAAAGAGTCGGACATGACTGAGCGACTGAACTGAACTGAACTGAATTGAGTAAGTAGGCCAATTAAAAGATTTTTTGTTAATCTGATATATGAGAATTTTATAAAATGAATGCTTTTCATTAGCTTAATGAAATATTTTTTGTTAATGAGGTTAAATTTTAAAATATATTTACCTAGCAGCATATTTACCAGCCATATTTTGTGAATGAACTGTTCCTGACCTTACTCACCCTTCTATTGGAGTCTTAGTGTTTTTTCTTATTGATTCATGTATATTTTTAATATTGTTAACATGTTAATATATTCATGGTAATATTTACCAGATCATTCCTTAAACTAGAAATCTAAACATAAACAGAAAAATACTGAAAAACTATCTTGAAAATAATGGACATCTATATAGTGTGTATATATATGTGTGTGTGTGTGTATATATATATATATATATATATATATATAGTGGAATATTACCCAGGAATTTTAAGAAAATGAAATTCTTCCATTTGAAACAACATGGATGGATTTGGAGGGTATTATGCTTAGCAGCATGCTTAGTGAAGTAAGTCAGAGACAGATAAATATTAATGTTTTCACATATATGTGGAATCTAAAAAATAAGATGAATGAATTAATGTAACAAAATAGAAACAAGACTCACAGATACAGAGAACAAGTTAGTGGTTACCAGTGGGGAGAGGGGAGGAGAGGGTAGCAAGATAAGGGAAGGGGATTACGAGGTATAAATTACTAGATATAAAATAAATAAGATACAAGGATATAATGTATAGCACAGGGAATATACCCAATATTTTATAATAATTTTAAATTAAGTATAATATATAAAAACACCAAATCTCTATGTGATTTAACACTATAAATCAACTTTACTTCAATTTAAAAAACTTTTAAACAACAAATAAGCAAAAAAATAAATATATAATATTAAAAATAGTGGGCATCTAGTGATGCTGATTTACTTATCAAAGTTTTATAACAAACCTTTGATATCTGAAGATCAGAGTTAGGGAAGAGGATAATGTCAAACCAATAGAAACAAATAGCAACCTTAGGGAACACTGGATAACATCTAAAAATATTGTTTCCAAAAAGATTTAAAAATAAAATATTATTTATTTTTGCAGCCACTTAGGCTGACTGTGCTCTTCCTCAGAGGGGCCCAGTGTGCAATAGCTGCAAACAGCAGCCTCCCTGGCTATGGCCTGTACAGGTTGCCCTAAGAGGCCGAGGAAACAACTCTTTCTAGTAGATCTTCATGACTGGCATGCTGTTCTGTCTAGGCCCCAGACAGGTATGCTCGTTGCCTTTGGAAAGTCCCAGGGAACAGTGGCCAAAGTCATAATGGTCATCCACACCTAGCAGCAGAACAATAAACCTGTGATTGAGGCCCTCCTCAGAGCCAAGTTCAAGTTCCCTGGCCACCAGACAATCCACATCTCCAAGAAGTGGGGATTTACTAAGTTTAATGCAGGTGAATTTGAAAACATAATGGTTGAAAAGCGGCTCATCCTAGATGGCTGTAGGGTCAAATATATCCCTAATCGTGGCCTTCTGACAAATGGGTCCTGCACTCATGAGAGCCTTGGTGCTACCCCTCCTTACTCATGCTTACCCATAAATTCTACTTTTCTGACAAAAATAAATAAATAAAAATATATCTTGTAAAAGTCCTTGAATATTTGCAGAGAACAGTCACAACCATAAACTAGGCACAGTTTTAAATTATTTCATATAATATTTATAATTATTCTGCTCAACAACATTATTTACTTTTAAAAATAAAGAACAATATTTTCATTTAACAGATAAAGACTGTGAGGCTGAAGTAAAATAAGCCTACTAGGCACCATGCCACTCTTGGGACTTATATATACCTTTCCACTGTGCCACAATTCAGATATTTGAGAAATGTAAATCTCTTGTATGATGCAAAACTATAGCTGAATAAAATCATAAAATGACATAAGATTTTGACTTTCAAGTCTTACCCTGTTAGAGTCCAAAGTAGTGGGCATATTTTTTAATTCATATACAGCAACTTGTCCATCGCTATCTCCCACCAGAAGGCAATCTGTTTGCTTAGCAAAAAGAACAGTTGTGAACTTGATTCCAGGGTTAGCAACATGGACAATCAGAGGGTCCAAACTGTAATGAAATACTGTATTTGTAAATTTAGTTATTGTTAATATGTTCTCTTTACATACAGACTAAGAAAAGTCTGAGATATGTGTGATTTCATGTAACAAAAACCAAAAGCATCTTTATGTGTTTCCAAAAGCAAAATAACTACTTCTCACCTTTTATTCAATCAAAGCTTTCATTCTTTCAATCAACTAATTTCAACTAAATAAATTAAAGTATTCACAATTAAGATGTGAACTCATACTTTAAACTCCTGTGATGATTAATTTTATGCATTAACTTGGCTAAGCTGTGGTTTTCAGTTGCTTAGTCAAACACCAGTCTACACATTGCTGTGAAGGTATGATACGATTAACTTAAATCAGTAGAATTTGAATAAAGCAAATTATCCTCCACAAAGTGAGTTGGCCTCATCTAATTTTTTGAAAGCCTTAAAAGAAAAGACTGAGGTCCTCAAAGCAGAATAGATTTCTGCCTCTATACTGCCTTTGCACTCAAGACTGCAACATGGACTCCCCTGATGGAAATTCCGGCTTGCTACCCTGTCAAGCAAACTTGGGAAATGCCAGGCCCCACAATCACATGAGCCAATATTTTTAAATCTCTCTGTCTCTTTCTCTCTCCCTTCCTCCCACCATCTCTATTTTATTGGTTCAGTTTCTCTGAGGATCTCTAGTACAACTTGTTAAATAATAAATGTCTTTTAAGGGAAGGATGTTTTGATCCAAATGAATCCCTAGACCAGAAGTGAATCTGAACAAGATTTAGAACCTTGTTCCAAGGTTCTCTAAACAAGAACCTTCTCTACTATTGCTCATCCAAAGCAATCCATTGACATTCTTATAAAAGAAGCAGTAACTTGCATATCTCTTCTGAAGAAATTTTGCCTGGGAACTAAAATTTTACTAGGAAAAAAAAAATCAGAGATGACACTCATATAAGTAACCACTTTCTACATTAGTCATCTCATACTCAAAAATAAATTGTTTTGTGTTGTACTCCTTGAGTTTTTGGTTCAAATTGTTTTATAGAATGAGTCGTGACAAAATTTTAAAGTTACTAAACTATTAATCTCTAGGAAAAAATTTGCGATTATTAATAAACCTATTGAATTTTATATCATTTATTTCAAACAAGAATGTATTTCCATGCTTCTCCTCCTTAATAACTTGCCTAAACGTCTACAATATTTTCTAATATTGAAATAATGATTGAAGAAGTAGAATCATTAAACACAATTTCAGCACTGTATAAACTTTCATACTAAAAAGGACGGTCTATGGCCCTCTAATAACTTTGACATAACACTTAAAAAATTTTAATTAAATGCATGTCTCTTCAAATATGTTTTAAAATGAAATAAGAGAATAAGTAAATATCATTAAAAAAATACTTATTTTGCTCCCTTTCTTTATCTTACTAATAAAAAAGGTCTTCAGTTAAGAACAATTAGAAAAGTGTCTCTCTGCATTCTTCCATAAACCAGACAATGACAAAGAATTCAAGGTAGTTATGATATCCTATATCAGTCTATAAAAATTTGATGAGGGACTACCGTGGTGCTTCAGTAGCTAAGACTCCATGCTCCCAATGCAGGGGATCTGGGTTCAATCCTTGGTCAGGGAACTAGATCCCACATACCACAACTAAGAGTTTGCATGTCACAACTAAAAGATCTTACATGCCACAACTAACACCTGATGCAGCCAAATAAATAAATAAATATTTTTTAAAATTGAGGAGATAGAGTAACCTATTTTCATTCAAATATTTTAAAACTATTAATACATATGATATAGGTAATTAATATATTATCCTGGCACATCACTTTATTCATAAAGGACTCCCACAGTGTGAACTATTACTTGTTTTAAAGTAACTATAGTTCTCTCTAACCAATGTCAAAACCACCAGGCACCATTTAGATGGAACTGCAATTATCTTTTACTTTTATTATCTACAATTATCTTCAAGAAAAATGTTAATATTTACGTGCTGATGTGAAGGTCCCAAATCTCCACTCTGCTCTCATTTGCAGCTGCAAATATGTAGCATGATTTTGGAGACCAGGCAATATCATAAACAACATAAGTAGTTGGATAAAAACTCAAAAATGGTTTGAGATTCTCATGTTGCCATATAATAACACCCCAATCTGCAGAACAGCTTAAGAAAACATCATGGCAAAATGGGTTCCATGCTATTTTATACACTGGTCCCTAGGATTAGAAAAATAAATTAAAATACATAGTAAGTAGTATTTAATGTCTTATACTTTAAATTTGACCAACAAACTTAAAATGCTCAGATTTCTAAAAGTTTTATACACCATACATTATTGTGTAAGTATTATCTTAGCTAAGAATACTAGGTCAAAGTTGACTGTCTTCCCTAAATTATGACATACAGAAGCAAACAAATATATTTGCTACTGTACTTACTAAATATTAACATATACTACAGTATTTAAAAATATTTAGGAATATTAAGAAAAATAAACAAAAATAAGGAAGAAAACATGGTAGGAACTATCATTTAAAAATGTAGGGAATACATATATGCCAGAGACAGTTTTACTTTGAGATCAGCATGTTAAATCAGCAGTCTTTTAGAAGCAAAAATTGTGGCCTAATAAGTTATGGAAAGAAATCAAGGATATCTAGAAGCCAAATTAAAAGCCCCACATACTATGGGTGTTTTATATACAAATTCAAGCTTGTATTTTTAAATCCAAAGTTATAAATTATTGCATAAAAATACTGTGTCTAATGATACTGTTTTCAGAAATATAATAAGATAAAATTTTCCATACCTACTGTAATTAAAACTAACCTTATGTCCTCTGTAGGTATCTAGATATTGTTCGTTATATGAACAGGAACACTTGTGAATATGACCTTCTTCAGTACCAGCCAAATAGATATTTGTGTCCTAAACACAAAAAGTCAAAATGCATTAACTTGTGATGTATTAGTAAACGTGCTAAATAGAAGACAGAATTCAAGATTTCTTAAAACAAGTTCAAGAACTAAAACTAGAAATACTATCTTGTAGACAACTGTTGTCTTTTTCTTAGATCATGATTTTATAATAATTAAACTCCCTGAAGGATGGCTGTGCAAAGAAAATACAGATTCTTTTCTTTGCTAAAATAGAGTGTAGAACTTAGTATCCTATCTAGAAATTACATGGACAAACATTCACTTAAAATGAGGAAGAAACTTTCTAACATTTAGAGATACCTGACAAGAGAATTAACAGTCCACAGAAACAGTATTATTTCACTAGAATTAGTCAGAGAGAAGACAGATGACAACAATAACACGATTCTTGCTGAGAATGAGAGATTAAACTAGATGGAGTCTCGGACATCTCAGATGTATTACCAAATAGGGATTTAAAATGTGTTTTCTATACTGAAGTTATAGTCAGAAAGTCTGAAAGTCAGGGGTCTATGTGGAGCTATGTCAAGTCAGCACCACATGGTAGTATTATAGAACTGCAGAATGTCAGCCCCTGCCCCAGACGTGCTGAGTCAGAATCATTTTAACAAGATTTCCCTGAAATCTGAGACACATTGCTCTAGCATACATCAGTACTTAAGAATGCAATTACTAGATCATGGGGGTCTATGTGGTTTAAATTACAAAATAAAGTCCATTTCCTCCCCAAAGTAGTATTATCAATTTACACTCAGCAGAATATAAAAGTTCCTTTTGACACACATTCTCTTCAACAGCTTGGTTACATCAGAAATCTTAGATTTTGCCATTCTATTAGGTATTAACTTACACTGAATGGTTTTAAGTTTCATTTATGTGTATATTAACAAAGTTGAGCACATTTTTATGTTTATTGGCCAACTGAATCTCCTCTTCCGTTCATATTTCTTGACCATTTTACTAATCTTTCTTTTTCATATTCATTTGAATAAGTTCCTAATATATTCTATTACATATGCTTTGTCTATTATTAGGTTGCAAAAATCTTCTCCCAGCATACAGCTTATTTTTTTTTTTACAAACTCTTAGTGTCATTTAGTAAATAAAAGTTCTCATTTTAATGTAGCTGGTATTATATATTTTACATAATTAGGGTTTTGTGCTTTAAGAAACTGTTCCTACTTTTAAGTCATAGAGATATTCTCCCATATTTTCTTCTAAAAGTTTTTGCATATAAACGGGTAGGGATCTAATTCCTTTTTTATATATGAACAATGATAATCTCAGTAGTATTTATAAGTAGGTCATCTTTCTCTGGTCTTCCCTGATGGCTCAATGGTAAAGAACCTGCCTGCCAATGCAGGAGACACAAGAGATATGGGTTCAATCCCTGGATTGGGATAATCCCCTGGGGGATGGCATGGCAAACCACTCCAGTATTCTTGCCTGGAGAATCCTGTGGACATAGGAGCCTGGTGGGCTACAGTCCATAGTGTCACAAAGAGTTGGACACGACTGAAATAACTCAGTACACAGATAAACGTCTTTCTCTAGAGCTCCTCAAGGTCACTGTCTAAAAGTTGGGTTCCTCAGTATGTAAACCTGAGACTGAGATTTCCATGCAAGAGGTTTATTGGGAAGTTCTCTCAGAAACAATCTCTTTGAGGGAAACAGGAACAGGTAGAGATTTAAGTTAAATTATGATGCAGCTGCGAGTGCTTTGGAGCTGAGATAGCCCTTCAGAGTCCTACCTCCAGACAAAGGGGTCAAATATGTTTTGCACCTCTTCCTAAACATAAATTAGTCAAGAATGATGACAGACTCAAACCAAACTAAATCAACAATCAAACTAAAGGTAAATTGTGTCACAAAAATCAAAGACTTTAGGACTGGATAAAAAAGCAAAATTCAACTATATGCTGCCTATAAGAAACATACTTTAAATATAAAGACATAAATAGGTTAAATGTAAAAGAATGTAAAATGATAAACTGTGCTAATATTAGTTAAAAGAAAGGTGTAGTGGCTACATTAATGTCAGACTAAGTAGATTTCAGAGTAGAGAATGTTACCAGCTATAAATAAGGTCATTGTATAATAAGGGAATTGATTAATCAAGAGAACGTGACAATTCTAAACACTTATGTACTTAAAGCTTCAAGACACATAAAGAAAAAATTGGTAGAATTTCAAAGGGAGAAAAGACAAATTCACAATTATGGTCAGACACTTCAATACCTTTCTGTCAATAAATCATGGAAGAAACAGGCAGAAAATTAGGAAGGATATAGTGAACTTGAACAATATCATCAACCAACTTAACCTGATTGACATTCATTGAACATTTCACCCAACAGTAGCAGAATATACACTTTCCTCAAATGCACAGGGAATATTTACAAGTAAACATCACATTCTAGGCTCTGAAACAAATCTCAATAAATTCAAAAGGATTCAGTTTATAAAAAGTTTGTTCTCTGATCATGATGGAATTGAATTAGAAACCAACAGAAAGATCCTTAGAAAAGCCTTGACTATTTGGAGACTAAATAACATGCTTTATCAGTCAAAGATGAAATCAGAGGAGCAATATTGATGTTTTGAGCCAGTGAATTCTTTGTTTGTGTGGGGAGAGGACGGTGGTTGTCTTGTGCATTGTAGAGTGTTTAGGAGCATCCCTGGACTCTGCTCACTGGATATAACTCTCCTCCCTACATCCCACCTCCCGTAGCTGCAACAACCAAAAATATCTGAAGAAGACATTGTGAAATGCCCCTGGTGGAAAGTACTCCTCTCCCTGCCCACATTGAGAACCACTCTTCTAGAGTCAAGGTGACAAGCAGATTATAGGAATGTGAGAATAAATGCAGTGAGAATATGATGGAAGCGATAAAGACTCCAAGGTAAAGAATCTGCTTGCAATACAGGAGACCAGGCTTTCATCCCTGGGTCAGGAAAGATCCCCTGGAGAAGGGACTGGCTATCCACCCCAGTGTTCTTGCATGGGAAGCGCCAGGGACAGAGGAGCCTAGCGGGCTACAGTCCATGGGGTCACAGAGAGTTAGATACACTGAGTGACCACATACACAGTGATCAAAGTCAAAAATAATAAAAGCCTGAACTATATGAATAGTAGGCTTGGACTAAAAGAAGTAGGATAAACCTAAATATCATCTGGGTGATAGAGTAGAATAGAGTAAGAACTCAAGTTTTGGTTTGCATAAGTAGGTGAATAATGGTATCACTAAAGAGATGATCATATTACATGTAATAGAAAATATATAGGGAATGTTTTCTTGTAAAAGTCACAGTGGCTGAATTTTCTGATTCCAAAGGGCCTCCAGGCAAGAAGAATTAGAAAAGCAGAACTTTACTAACAGTCCTCTGATTTCATTTTGGTCTTGATAGGCATAGTCTGAAGTGGTCTTCCCAATCCCCAGAATCATGAGAGTCACCACTCACAGTGAGATATGGAAGACTATATAGTGGATTTGGTTTCTGTCACTATGATAGAGCAGGAGAAAACCCAAGAGGGGCAAGGTGGGGCATTCAAGTTAAAATGAGCAGTTGAGTAGATAATCCTTCTATTGTTGCTCAGAAATACAGACCTTTCCTCTAAAATGCAGATGAAGGACAGCCCACTGGAAAGTGCCATTTCACCTTAGGCTGATAACCTAAGTTTGTTAGTTTTCTGCTTACAGGCACAATATTTATTAACATGGTAACCTTTTGTCTTTGTTTTTGGCCACGAGACATGTGTGATCTTAGCCCCCTGACCAGGGACTGAATCTGCACCTCCTGGCTTGGACAGTGACATCTCAACCACTGGACTGCCAGGGAAGGACCTAGTCTTATACCTTAATACACTTCAATGATTAGAAGTTGTATTGAAATAATTTACCTTGGGATGAAAAGCAAAACACATTCCAGGAGCCTGTCGAGATATCAAAGCTTCACCTTTCTTTTCCTTTTCCCCTCCTTTTTTGCTGGTGCTAGCAGTTGTTCGCCTCAAGCGCATCAAATCTTTAAAGAAAAAATAGATACCTTTCTACCACATGAAAAAGTACTGTAGATATAATATGTCCCTTCTGCAAATAAAATGAGTTCTGCCGTTCTTTGCATGTCATTAGGTTAAAATAAGCAAATACCAGAGTTAGATGCTTAGTAAAATGATCAAGCCCAGTTTTTCTCTTATTTAGTCAAACCTAAATTTACCAACTTTTATACATTGTTCACTAGGAATTTTTAATTCAGCACATAACAAGAGAAAGATAATTTGGGCGGGGGGGGCAGGTGGGTGTGTGTGTGTGAGAGAGAGAGAGAGTGTGTGAGTGTATTTATTTATTTTTACCATGACAGTCCAGTCCTTTCCGTATAACCCATTTAGAGATTCTTCCATCCGCTGATATAGAAACTAGTATTTCTCTTTTGTCATCACCTGTTGTCCCTCGATCTTGTTCTATCCACTGCAGTTGCCATACAGGTCCCAAGTGTTTTTGAGGTGATTCACTAAAACAAGGAAAATCACTAGTAGAAAATCATAATTTTTAAAAAGACTTGTAATACTAAGTGATAAGGACAACTCCCTAAAGCATCATGACTTACTTATAGAATGATGCTTTTATTGTTCTGAACTGGACTTCAACTTTAAATATTTTGAAAATCAGGGGAAAAAAACCACTTTTCTAATATTCACTGATATTTTTCTCATTTCTTACAAAAAGAAAATTTTATTGCTATCATAAAAGGAATATAAAAGCAAATATTTCTTTCTTTTAAGAATCTACTCCTTTTACTCTATTCACTTACTTTTTCCTAGTTGTGTAAATTTAGTTTATTTAGATACACTGAATATAAGTATCTCCATTTTTCCAAGGATATTTCTCATAGTTTAAATAAGTAAGTCATTTAAGTCCTATTTGAATAAATAGTTACTTCACCCTTCTTCTTATATTTCAGCATTGTCCACTGGCTTGATTCTCTCTAAGGCTGAGATTTAAAATTTTTCTGAAAAATTAAAATCACTTCTCAGATTACTACTTTCCTGTCTGATTAATGGGTTGCTTTGTTCTTAGTACTGACTCTCATGATTTTTTATGTGAATCCTCCAAAGCAATAGTGCTGAATACTCTTAAATCTAGATATATTTGATTATTTGGTAAAAGTTACGAATCTTCTGCCCGGAAATGAACACAAGGCTCACACTTACAAAACTATGCAAATATTTTCAAAATTAACCTAAAAAACACGTGATTTAAAGCCTATTTCCAGTTCTTCTGAAGTTTGCTGCTGCTGCTAAGTCGCTTCAGTCATGTCGTTCCGAAGTTTATTCAAATACTAATATGAATATATAACCTCATTTTTGCTCCACTAGTATCAGGTTTATTATAAAAACTTGAGGTATCTTTCGATCTCTTTCACCTTAAACTTTTTTATTTTCTCAATATGTCACATTAATTATTTCTTTCATTTATAAGATGAAAGTTCTTGAAATCTAATGTACATCACGGTGATTACAGTTAATAACACTATGCTGCATACATGAAATTTGCTAAAAGAGTAGATCTTAAGTGTTCTCACCACACACAAAAAAATGGTAACTATGTGAGGTTGTTGTTGTTTAGTCACTAAATCATGGCTGACACTTTGTGATGAAACAGACTGTGGCCCACCAGGCTCCTCTGTCCCTGGGATTTTCCAGGAAGAATAATGGAGTGGATTGCCATTTCCTTCTCCAGATATGTGAGATTATGGATGCATTAATTAATTTGATTCCACTAATCATTTCACAATGTATACATATATTAAATCATCACATTGTACACTTAATCATGTTGTACAACCTAAATAAACTCAATTTTTATTTGTCAATTATACCTCAATAAAGCTGGAAAAAATTTTAGCTTTTTAAAAAGCAGCAGCGGGTGAAACAGATCACCAGCCCAGGTTGGGTGCATGAGACAAGTGCTCGGGCCTGGTGCACTGGGAAGACCCAGAGGGATAGGGTGGAGAGGGAGGTGGGAGGGGGGACCGGGATGGGGAATACATGTAAATCCATGGCTAATTCATTTCAATGTATGACAAAAACCACTGCAATGTTGTAAAGTAATTAGCCTCCAACTAATAAAAATAAATGGAAAAAAAAATAAATAAATAAAAAGCAGCAGCATACACCAAAAGAAGTTTGTTGGTGAGCAGGCAGAAAAGATGATAAAGAGATGTTAAAGCAGAGCATTCCAGCTGGAGAGATGTTATGAGGAATTATCAAATGTTTGAAGATAATGGTATCACTCTCAATAACAGTATAAACATTCACTCAAAACTAAATAACATAAATTTTTTCTTCTCCCCCAAAAAAGTACATGTTATATATTTATCTAATTCTTGGATTTTCTCACCTACTATCCAGAACTGGAAGGTTACTGTTGTTCTGTACATTATAAATTGCAATAGTGCCATTGTGATAGCCAACTGCTAAAAGGTTAGGTGAGCCGATTGAAAAATCCACAGCAGTAACTCCATATGGACTCTGATAAGTACGCTCTGGCCACTGAATAAAAAAAATATATTACATTACAATTTAAACTTGGTTTTATAAAGCACAGTACAGGAGGGTATGATAGTGACTAAAGACTAGGCTGATGGCAGTGGGGATGTGAGGAGAGTTAACTTGCATTCAGTTACTCCTAACTTCCTGTATACATGAGAACAAAACCTCAATCAGTCATTTCCTTTATTTTGATGAATCCTCAGAGCTCAGTAATTTTGCAAAATACAGCATGTAGCTCTATAGTAATTATCATTTGGGGTAATCTTCCAATAGGATTTTCCATCACAGGTCTACATTCTTGAAAATACAAATAATAGCCACCAAATAAATTATCCTGCATATATTCCTATCTTCCAGTATCTGTTTCTAATGCTTGTATTATCTAATCATTTCTAAATAAGGATAGAAGAAGCTATAAAACTTTCCAAGTTACTCTTTTCTACAACTCTGTCAAGAGTTTTATTGTTTTGTTTGAATGTCCAATTCAAATCCTTTCTTGGTTCTACCAACCTACATGGAAAAGAAGACAACTTGCTGTTGATGAATCCTGTCAATCCTTCCACATGTTTAAAATTGCTTCTTCCTTTCTTTTAGGCTATATAAACCCAGCTTCCTAACAGACGAGGGTTATTTATAAGAACTCCAATTATTTTTGTATGCCTTTCTGATCTTTTTAAAGTAGTCCACTTTACATTTCTATTGTAAAGTAAAACTAAGGGTAAAAGGACTTCGCTGGCAGTCCACTGGTTAACACTCTCTGCTTCCGCTGCAAAGGGTGCAGGTTCGATCCCTGGTCAGGATACTTAAGATCCCGCATGGTGCGATAAAAACAAACAAACAAAAAAAACCAAAGGAACAAAAAAAAAGAACTAAAGGTAAACCTGTAAGTGACAGATTGACTAGAGCTATTTAGAAAAAACATAACTGATTCTTGTTCATTTTTTTTTAAATTCATAACAGTAAGATATTATATGAATCTATTTTACATCTATTGAGGATAACAGAAATCTATCTTATAAAGTGATGAGTTTTTCATATACGGAAAAACAATCCAATAGTAAATGAAACTATTTTTAAAGTTTGCATTTGCAAATATTTTTCTTTATAACAGGCAGTGATATACAATAATGGTTCGGCCTTGGATCATCAGATCTAACAGCACACAGTAGTGAATTTACTTTATCCTATAAAGTATCAGAATAAGTTTTAATTATTTAATTGTTACAGATTTAAACCAAAGAAAATAAAGTCCTGCATGATAAAACTTCCTTGACTTTGCTTAATTATCAACTACAACTATCTACTACTTTATGAGAATTATGTCAACATTTAATTAAATAAAAATAGATCTTATTCCTGCTCAAGTTACCATGGGGTTCTTTATTGACCAGCAGCAGGCCAATCCTCTTTTTTGCTCCTTAAATCCAAAGTGTCCATAGCCAACAGCCAAAAGGTCCTGAAAACCAGGAAAATTCAAACTAAGAGAGGATAGCATAAAAATATTGGCAAATGTATGAAGATGTATATTAATGAGCTGTGTTAAAAAGAGTGATGATATTTTAATTAAGGTTAAAAAAAACACCATATGCCATCTATTTTCACTCTTCATTTCCATCTTCCTAAGCAAAATCATAACAATAATCACATTTTCAGACTGAAAAACTAGTACTCAAAAAGAACCAATTGCTAACAAGCTCTTTTACATATTGAGATAATCTTCAAAAATTCTATTATTACATTATAATCTCCTATAGATTTTTAAGGATGACCTAATTTTTTCAAATGTAAAATAGAAGACATTTAAATTTAAAGTGAGGTGTTATGGACTGAATTGTGTCTCCTCTCCTAAAAGTCATTTGTGGAAGTCCTAAACCCTAAAACTGTGTGATCACATTTGGAAATAGCACATTTAGGAGGTTATTAAGGTTAAACGAGTCCAGGAGTGTGGGGTCCTCATTCGATAGGATTGGGTTCCTTACAAAAAGAGGAAGAAACCTAAGAGCCCTTTCTCTCCACCATGGGAGGATACAGTCAAGCCTGAAAGAGAGCCTTACCCAGGAAATGAATCAGCCTCCAGAACTGTAAGAAATAAATTTCCATTGTTTAAGCCACTCAGTCTATGGTATTTTGTTATGGCAGCTTCAGCTGATTAATACAGCAGGTCATTTCCAGAAATGCTTTTATAATTGACCCTTGAACAATATGAGTTTGAACTGTGTAGGTCTACTTATAAATGGATTCTTTTAAACTAATATATTGAAACATTTTTTGGAGATTTGTAACCATTTGAAAAAAATGCACAGAAAAACTCCATAGCCTAGAAATCCAAAACATTAAAAAAAGGATTTTTCATGAATGTATAAAATGTATGTAGATAACAGTCTACTCCTTTGATAGGCATAAGTAAACATTTAATATAAAATTTATAATGTATTCATTTTATTACTGTTTTATAACTTTGCTTTCAAAGAATTATATATTATCATACAGTATGCCTCACTCTCATAATTGAAGAAACTGCATATCAGCCTATCATCACAGGTAAGTAGCTTTTTTGTAGGGTAACAATGTTTCCAATACAGCATTATGAATATGACTATAATACTGTATGCCATTGAAATTTTATAACAGTTCATTCATTAGTGTATAGTCTAGGCTATCCTGAAGCAATCATATCAATTACACAAGGCTACTATAAAGCAATCATCTTGATGCTTCTTTGTCAACAATATATAAATCACTATACCTGAAAAAAATATGAATTTTTCATATTATCTTTTTATTTTTGATGTCTAAGTAACACATGTAACATCTACAGTGTTTTGCGTCATCTAAGACAACACTGATGTAGGCACTGACAGACAATTCATCTGTAAAATGGACGACATACACTTAACAGTGTTGCTAAATACAGTACAGTACTATAAATGTTGATTCATTGATCCGTTGATCATAGAAAAAGAAGAGAGTTCCAGAAAAACATCTACTTTTGCTTTATGGACTATGCCAAAGCCTTTGACTGTGTGTCTCACAACAAACTGTGGAAAATTCTTAGAGATGGGAATACCAGAACACCTTATGTGCCTCCTGAGAAATCTGCATGCAGGACAAGAAGCAACAGTTAGAACCGGACATGGAACAATGTACTGGTTCCAAATTGAGAAAGGAGTATATTGTCACCCTGTTTAGTTAACTTATATTTGGAGTACATCATGTGAAATGCTTGGCTGGATGAAGCACAAGCTGAAATCAACATTGCTGGGAGAAATATCAATAAGCTCAGATACACAGATGACACCACTCTTATGGCAGAAAGCAAAGAACTAAAGAGCTTCTTGATGAAAGTGAAAGAGGAGAGTGAAAAAGTTGGCTTACAACTCAACATTCAGAAAAATAAGGTCATGGCATCTGGTCCTATTACTTCATGGCAAACAGATAGGGAAACAAAGGAAACAGTGATGGACTTTATTTTCTTGGGCTCCAAAACCATTGCAAATGGTGACTGCAGTCATTAAATTAAAAGACGCTTGCTCCCTGGAAGAAAAGCTATGACCAACCTAGACAGCATATTAAAAAGCAGAGACATTACTTTGCTGACAAAGGTCTGTCTAGCCAAAGCTATGATTTTTTCCAGTGGTCATGTATGGATGTGAGAGTTGGACTATAAAGAAAGCTGAGCACTGAAGAATTGATCTGATCTTTTTGAACTTTGGTGTTGGAGAAGACTCTTGAGAGTCTCTTGGATTACAAGGAGATCCAACCAGTCAATCCTAAAGGAAATCAGTCCTGAATATTTATTGGAAGGACTGATGCTGAAGCTGAAACTCCAATACTTTGGCCACCTGATGTGAAGAACTGGCTCATTGGAAAAGACCTTGATGCTGGGAAAGATTGAAGGCAGGAGGAGAAGGGGATGATAGAAGATGAGATGGTTGGATGGCATCACCAACGCAATGGACATGAGTTTGAGCAAGCTCCAGGAGTTGGTGATGGGCAGGGAGGCCTGCTGTGCTGCAGCCCATGGTGTTGCAAAGAGTCAGACAGGACTGAATGACTGAACTGACTATAAATGTATTTTCTCTTTCTTATTATTTTTCTTAATAATATTCTCTTTTCCCTAGCTTGCTTTATTGTAAAGTTACAGTTTATAATACATGTAACACACAAAATATGTGTTCATTGACCATTAATGTTTGGCAATTCTTTCAGTCGACAATAGGCTATTAGTAGTTAAGTTTTGGGGTAGTCAAAAGTTACACTTAGATTTTTAACTGCATAAAAGGTTGGCACCCCAAACCCCCTTTTATTCAAGGTCAACTGTATAAGTACATATGCACAAAAGTTTAATTATTAAACAAACCCAGACTTTCCTTTGTAATCAGAAAGAATACAAAGACAGTCCTACCACCATCCTACCTCCCAATCAACATCGTATCTCCACAGTTCTGTCTTAAAATACTCTTCATCACTACCCTTGACATTGACAAACTCTTATTCATCTCTTTTAGACTCAGAATAGACGTCAATTCCTCTAAGAAGCATTCACAACCCTCTCTTATGTGTTCCCATGGTATTATTTTTCCTTATTAAAGCACATAGGAAACTAGTGTATGGCCAGAGACTACATGTGACTAAATTACTACTGTATCTACAGTGCTTTAACAGAGTTTCTGCACAGAGTTAATACTCAACAAATATTTATAGAATTAATTAATAAATATTATGGATGCCATCTGTTATATTTTTAGCTTCATTCAAAATTAACTTTATTCTAAACAGCAATATATTAATTTTTAGCTGTGAGTATATTCAGTTTCTTAAAATGATTCATCTGTCTTTATTACCCAGTTATTACTAATTTATTAAATTTCACTTATCTACAAGATGTTCCCTAATATAGTTTTATAAAGACAAATTCACACTAAAAGTATTTTATTTTATTCAAAACAATATACAAAATTTAAGTAATGTGCTATTTAGGTTTTGACAAAAATGATCATAGTTTTATTTTTCATTTAAAATTTTTTATTGGAGTAGAGTTGATCTACAGTGTTTTGTTAATTTCAGGTTGATTGTAGGTTTTTAATAGCCATAAAACCTATCATGTTTGCACATAGTACCTTATAAGGTACAGTGATAAAACAAGGCTAATTCTTAAAACATGCATAAAACAATACAGTTTAAACAAATTAGTTCTGATGACTTTAAACATTAATCAGGGACCTCCGTGGTGGTCCAGTGGTTGGGGGTCCACTTCCCAATGCAGAGTCTATGGGTTCAATCCCTGGTTAAGAACTGGAGTTCCACACATTGTGGGACAACTCAGCCTGAGCCAAACAACAACAACCAAGAAAAAGATGCTGCAACTAGCACCCACTGAGGCCAAAATAAATAAATATTTCTCAAAAAGGACCAAAAAAAAAAAAGTTAATCCAGAAGCACTAGTTGAGAATCATGTCTTCAGAACCGGTTTATAAATCTCAGGAAAAAATAACTCTCATTACTCTATAATCATTCTTTTTTTACAAGAAAACATACCATTCCCCAGCTTGATGATTCATCTCATTTTCCTCAAGATGATTTTTAATAGAGCAGTACTAAAAGTGAAAGTGAAGTCATGTGTGACTCTTTGCGACCCCATGGACTGTGCCCACCAGACTTCTCCATCCATGGGATTCTCCAGGCAAGAGTACTACTGAAGGGCGTCCCTAATAGCTCAGTTGGTAAAGAATCTGCCTGCAATGCAGGAGACCTGGGTTCAATCCCTAGGTTGGGAAGATCCCCTGGAGAAGGGAAAGGCTACCCACTCTAGTATTCTGGCCTGGAGAATTCCATGGACTGTGTAGTGCATGGGGTCACAAAGAGTCGGACAAGACTGAGCGACTTTCACTTCACTTTCACTAGAAGCAGGAACTCTGGATCTGGATGTCTCGGTTTGGATTCTGTCTCGCTTACTGGTTATATAACTTTGGGCAAGTTATCCTTTCTGTGCTTCAGTGCAACATAGTGAGGAAAATAGTGCCTTATTCATAGATTTGTGATAATACAAGTAAAACGTTTACAATAGAGCCTGGTACATAGTAGGTGCTGTTTAAGTATCCACTGTAGTATTAGATCTTAAGGAATATCGAAATTATTCTGCACTTTTACAGGGTCACTGGATTAAGCTGTTATTGTTGTTATTTAGTCGCTAAGTCATGTTAGACTCTTTTTCGACCTCATGGATTAAGTACATACTTCCAAATATGGTTTCTTTAAAGAGAATACAAGTTTGGGTGCATGAATTTGGTTAATATGTTAAACTAAATAAATATATATTATTTTCTTGTCCACTTCTCAACATCTGACATAGATTCAGCCATGTTCCAAGTACATCTCTTAAAAAGGGTGACATTTTCATATTAAAGAAGAAAAAACATGGTTTTCTAGCTATTGCATTTCCCCCCTTTAAAAATATAAACTTGTTTTCAGAGGAATTTTAAAACCAGGGGTTATGTCAATTTAAATCCCTTGCCTAACAGATGAGAAAAAGAAATCATTAGTGTTATACTTGGTAAGTGCCCTTAAATGCCACAGACAGAATTATTAAAACATTTGATAACTTACTGGATTTGCTTTATTCCAGGCAAGGCTGCTCACATTAAGGCCTTTGGTTAGGTCACAAGAAAAGGACCAAAGTCGCTCCAAATTGGCTGGTATTGTTGATTGTTCTGAATCTATTTCTAAATCTTCTTCCTCTTCCTTTTTAGCCTCTTCTTCGACCTCTTCAAGTTTTCCATCTACTAAAAAGTCTCCAGGCTCTTCAGGTTCTGGTTCTAAAATTAAATCAAATGAAAAGAAGATCATGGTGCTCTACACCCATCTGCTAAAGTTTCCAAAGAACAGCTCTATCTACCACTGACACTTCAGACACCACTGTATCTGCTAGGTCGTAAGGCCCAAGGGACAGGGCACCTGTAACAGCTGCCTGAACCTGCTGCAGAATCTTCTGTTGTTCTGAGCCCCACTCAAAGCAATTGGCTTTTCAGATCACTGAGTAAATGAACCAGAATAACATCCAAATGAGGCATGTGTTGCCTCTAAAATGCAAAGACGGCTTCCCTTGTGGCTCAGTCAGTAAGAAATCCACCTACAATGCAGGAGACCCAGGTTCAGTCCCTGGGTCAGGAAGATGCCCTGGAGAAGGAATGGCAACCCACTCCAGAATTCTTGCCTAGAAAATTCCATGCACAGAGGAGTCTGGTGGGCTACAGCCCATGGGGTTGCAAACAGTCGAACACAACTTAGCGACTAAGCCACCACCTACGAAATGCAAAGAGATCCACTAGGAATGCGTCTGTCTCTCTTTCTCTCTCTTTTTTTCATTGCAGAGGACTCAGATGCAACAACATATTTTTTTACCTTAGAAGGTATATCTTGACATATCCTACTGGACTCTTGGAAATCTCACTGAGGTGGAAGGCCCCTGAAATTTTGTCAGATTTACATCTCACCCTCCGACATGCAAATGTCTTGCCAGTAAGTTTACTTGTTGTTCACTAAGTCCAATCAACATACCGTCAGTGTAATGGACCAGTGCGATGTCTTGCTGAAGGGAAAGCTTGCTGCAGACTAAATTATGACCTAAAGCAGAACAGTGAAGGTGTACTGCTGACCTGGCCAGCTGAGAGCAAATAGCTTTGGTTTTCCCAACAGGTACTGAAGGGAAAAAGCATCAGCAGCTACACACTACATACCACAAGTTGTGTTAGTTGGCTCAGGCAATGAGACTCTAACTGAAACGCTAGCTGCAACTAGAGTCACCACCTGGTTAAGCTTAAAATAATCCACTGTTATTCTCTAAGAGTCATGTGTTTTCTGTGTAAGCCAGATAGATGAGTTGAACGATGGGAGTCAACATTCCTGCATATTTCAAGCCCTTGATGGTGGTATTAATCTCTGAGATCCCTCCAGAAAGGTGGCATTGCTATGGTTTACTATTTTCATAGGTATAGACAGCTCTAGTGGCTTCCACTTTGCCCTTTCCTCTCAAATTAGCTCTCACTGCTTCCCTGGTGGCTCAGAGGTTAAAGCGTCTGCCTGCAATGCGGGAGACCCGGGTTCAATCCCTAGGTCGGGAAAATCCCCTGGAGAAGGAAATGGCAACCCACTCCACTACTCTTGCCTGGAGAATCCCATGGATGGAGGAGCCTGGTAGGGTACAATCCACAGGGTTGCCAAGAGTCGTACACAACTGAGAGACTTCACTTTCACTTTCACTTTCCACAAGCCAAGGATCACATGGGGGATTCTGCCAGTTTCTAATTATTTCTATTTCAAGTATACATTCTGGAACAGGGAAAATAACTACAGGATGATGGGTGGACACATTGTGAGATGAACCTGAACTAAAATTCTGTTGATCACCTGATTTTAAGTCCTAGTGGACCCCAGTGATGTTTTGGGTCTCCCTGAGTTAGTGTGAACTCAGAGCCAGTGTTCAGTAATCCATGAAACAGTCCTTCTAATAAAATGCTATAGACCTTTATGAAGAAAGCTGGGATAAGTATTAACAGTACACACTCTTGACAATGTAGTGTGATACGTTCTCAAAGTGACCCGGTCTCTGCTTCATTCAAGACATTCTGGTTCTATAAACTGGCTCAAGTCTAGGAATAGGTTAAGCGGCTGTGACTTTGTTTTTTGGTGTTTCAAATTAAAAACACTTGACCTAGAACTTTACTGCTTATACAGATTAAGTGAGAATTTTTAAGATGACGGTCTGTTATGGGATGAATTCTTTCTCTCCAAAATTCATATATTGAAGTCATAATGACTCAGAGGTAAAGAATCCACCTATGATGCAGGAGACACAGGTTCAACCCCTGAGTCAGGAAGATTCCCCTGGAGAAGGGAGTGGCTACCCACTCCAGTCATCACCTGGTTAAGCTGGTAGTGACTGGGAAATTCCATGGACAGAGAAGCCTGTAGGGCTGCAGTCCATAGGGTGGCAAAGAGCTGCACAAGAGTGTGTGACACACAGAGCTAAGAATGTAGTGTGTAAGAATGTAACAAAATTCTGAGAAAGGACTTTGAAGTGGCGATGACATTAAAATCAGATCATTAGAGGGTCCCAATCCATTGATCGATATCCTTATAAGAAGAGGAAATTTAGATACACCAAGAGAGATAAGGGATGAACACACACAGAGAAAAGGCCACGTAAAGAGGCGGCAAGAGGGTGAACATCTGCAAGCCAAAGAGAGAGGCCTCAGAGGAAACCAACCCTGATGGCATCTTGATCTTGGACTTTCTGTCTCTAGAATTGTGAGGAAGTAAATGTGTGTTGTCTAAATCTTTAGTCAGATGTATATATTGCAAACATATTCTTCTAGTCTGTTGCTTGCATTTCCCCCCTGTTTCCCCTGCATTTTCCTACTGTTAACAGTGTTATTCAAAGAGCAGACATTTTAACTTTTGCAAAAGTCTTATTAATTTTTTTCTTTTATGCCTTGGGATTTTGGGGCTTCCCAGGTGGCTCAGTGGTAAGTAATCTGCCTGACAATGCAGGAGATGCAGGTTCGATCCCTGGGTCGGAAAGATCTCCTGGAGAAGAGAATGACGATCCACTCTATTATTCTTGCCTGGAGAATACCATGGACAAAGGAGTCTGGTGGGCTACCACCCACTGGGTCACAAAGAGTTGGACACGAATGAACATGCCTGCACTTGGGATTTTTGTATATTAAGTAGATCTTTTCTTATGCTAAAATCACAAATATTTTTCTTTTATCTTCACCTAAAACTTTATAGTCTTAATTTTTACATTTAAATCTATGGTCCATTCTGACTTAATTTATACAATTAATAGGAGGTGAGGTTTGAAGTTCATTTTTCTCCCCATAAGGATATCCAGTTCTTTCAGCACTGTTTTTAAAAGATCAGCTTCTCTCTATTGAATTGCCTTGACATGTTTGTTAAAAATCAGTTAACCATATATGTCTGTGTTTATTTCTGGACTCACTAGTCTGTTTCAATCATCTATATGTCTAGTTAGTTCAGTTCAGTCGCTCAGTCGTGTCCGACTCTTTGCGACCCCATGAATCGCAGCACGCCAGGCCTCCCTGTCCATCACCAACTCCCAGAGTTTACTCAAACTCATGCCCATCAAGTCGGTGATGTCATCCAGCCATCTCATCCTGTGTCATCCCCTTCTCCTCCTGTCCCCAATCCCTCCCAGCATCAGGGTCTTTTCCAATGAGTCAACTCTTCGCATGAGGTGGCCAAAGTATTGGAGTTTCAGCTTCAGCATCAGTCTTTCCAATGAACACCCAGGACTGATCTCCTTTAGGATGGACTGGTTGGATCTCCTTGCAGTCCAAGGGACTCTCAAGAGTCTTCTCCAACACCACAGTTCAAAAGCATCAATTTTTTGGCGCTCAGCTTTCTTCACAGTCCAACTCTCACATCCATACATGACCACTGGAAAAACCACAGCCTTGACCAGACGGACCTTTGTTGTCAAAGTAATGTCTCTGCTTTTTAATATGCTATCTAGGTTGGTCATAACTTTCCTTCCAAGGAGTAAGCATCTTAATCTCACTGCTGCCTTGATTACTGTATCTTTATAGTCAGTCACCTGTAATATAGTAGGGTTAAGGCCTTCAGCTTCATTCTTCTGCTACAAAATTGTTGAGTTATTCCATGTCCTTTGCTTTACCATAGAAAACATAAAATAATATTGTTGACTTAATGATTTTTAAAGAAATTTTAAATGGTGGGAAATGTCTCTTACTCTTCTCACATTTTCAAATTCTAGCACTCTCCATTCTTTTCTGTAGATTCTAATTTCTGTTATTATTTTCTATTAGTCTGAAGAACTTCCTTTAACTTTCTGTGCAATGCTGGTTTGCTGACAATGGAATTCTCTCAGCTTTTGTTTGTCTGAACATGTTTTTATTTCACCTTGATTTTTGAAGGATATTTTCTCTAGATATAGAATTTTAGCACAGTACAAATATCATTGCATTGCTTTCTGGCTTCTGATATAGAAATAAGGGCATTATTAATTTCTCCCCTGTATGGAATGCATTTTTTTCTGGCAACTTTTAAGTTTTTTTTTAAACATAGTACTTATAAGATGCCTCAGTGTGCTTTTCATTGTGTTTATCTTGCTTGAGTTTCATTGAGCTTCTTATAATTATTGATTTAAAGTTTTTTCAAGTATACAAAATTTCTAGCAATTCTTCCTTCAAATATTTTCCTGTTCTTCCTCTTTATTCTACTACTACAATTCTAATTACATATATATTAAACCACATGAATCTAGGACACAGGTCGCTGAAGTTCTATTTTTTTAAACTTGTTTCTGTACTTTAATTTGGAATGTTCCTCTTGCTTGTCTTTTAGTATTCTGTCAAACCCAAGCAGTAAACTTTTTCATTTCAAGTACTAAGTATTGTATTTCATCTCTAGAAGTTCCATTTGGTCCTATATATAGCTTTCATTACTATCATCATTGTATTCTTATTTTTTCCTTTAAATCTTTACACATATTTTTAGAACTTATTCTTTAACAGACTTTATTTTTTAGAGTAGTTTTAGTTTCACAGAAAAACTGAACTGAAAATAAGAGTTCCAATATACTCACACCCAGATTTACACATAGCCTTTTCCAGATCAACATCCTGCACCATAGTACAGTGCTACAATAAGTAAACTCCCAGTGACAAATCATTATTACTCAAAATCTATATAGTTCACTTTAGGATTTACTCTTGGTGTTGTACATTCTATGAATTTGGATGAGTGTACAATGAAATGTACCCACCACTAA